CCCTTCTGCGCCCAGCAGCTAAGCGGCGAGCAGGGCTACGTCAGACTCATCTTCCAGGGACCCCTTGACTAACGGCGGGAACTTCCCAGCATTCTTTGGAGGTTTTATTTGGATGCTGACCCCGTATTTAACACGGGGACCTTCCCAGATCTGTTTTTTTCTGGACTTTTTGTCTCTCTCTCATTTTTAAGTGACCTTTGTATTGCTTTTTCATGAATGACGACAAAGATTTCTATATTTTCACGTGAAACCAGAGACAGAAAAACCAAACAAAGAACACTGCTGGGTCAAACCTTTTTTCGCGTTTGTTTCTCGGAAAGGACTTTTAACAGTATTTATCTAAATTACTAACACACCGCAGCGCAAACCTGCGGTTTTATTCATGTTTATTGTTGCATTATACATCTGTGTACATCTCTTAGAGCTAATTTAAACAAAGATGTTTATTTATGGCCCTGGAGCATCGCTTCATCCTTTATCTGTCAGATAACTTCAATACTATTAAGCGTTTTATTTTGAAACTTCAGTATATTGTTAACCAGATATAAAGTTTTAGGTGTGTTCTGAGGGTTTTGTTCTGTCTCTCTCTGCCTTGTTCACCAATCAGATCTGTCATATTTATACACCCCGTCCTCTCACGTCGTGTGTTTAAACCCTTCAGTTATTCTTCTGTCTCATTAGCCATCACCGCAGCCTTTTTCCCTTGCAAAGCAATAGATCTGGAACTGAAACCTCCTAAAGCATTATGGGAAACCGAGTCTTCTAGGCATCTTTGCAAATGGCCTGAATGACTGCTCCCTCCCTTTAAAGTGAAATATCTTTGTGGGTAAGTGAGTGAATCTCTACGCAGCCATGTAGCTAATGTTATACTTTACACAAACACACACACACTTGCAGACACACACGCTGACCAGACCAGAGGGGTGCACTGCAAACCGAGATTAGTGGATCAGCGAGGTATCTTTATCCTCAAGTCAGACTTTAAGTCACAAAGATGGCTAGATCACATGGTACGTTATGCTGGTGACATAATCTGCTCCAGACTGCGTTAGGTGTAATGTTTTGAAGGAAGGAGTACCTTTTAATAAAACTGGTGAAGGAAGACGTGCAAAATGCGTTGCATTGTCATTGGGAGTTCTTGCATTCAGCTGGTGATGCAGGACATGTATAAATAGTAATTTTATGCTTGACCTGAAAGCATATGGGGGGCATATATGACCTGAAACCAGCAACTGAGCCCATTAAGGTATCAGGAAAGTGTTGACTTCAATACAACCAGAAGGTGTTCTTGTAAACAGAGGAGTCGCCCCCTGCTGGCTACCTAAATGAATGCAGGCATACGGTTTTCAGCCATCTTTTACAGTGAATATGGTTAGAAGTGAATGCGCTGGGCAGTCTATATTATTGAAGAAAGCCTGGCGGCCACATTGACCTTGCTTCTCAGCACACCCCTCTGGTCAGATGCTTTTCATGTGTGGACAGTGTCTGGTTTATTCTGCGTGATAACTGGGATGTCTGAGGCACACCTGCACAGTCAAAGCAAGATCACTACTGTGCCAGATGCTGTACGGTTTTTTGATCGGTATTAGTATTGAGCTCCGAATGTATTAGACGTCCTTTTGACAGCATTGCACTCATGCCAGTATTTTAAAATCCTTTTCTTGTCACGTGCCCTACTGGAGGCTGGAAAAAATCGACGCACTATTTGTTCAGCTACACCTAAAAGTATGCAAACCGAGGCAGTTGAAGTCATTTCAGCAGGTTTCTCCTCCTCTCGTGTGAATCGTCACAGTGCAGGAAGTCCCATCTGTCTTACGCATCGAGCGAGCAACAAAAAGCAGGAGATACAAACACATCTGCTGTGGTTTGACTCAGGTTTGACACAAGCACACACACACGCACGGCTTTAAGCTTCACAATTCTCTTTATGCACGCGTGTGCGCTCATTAGGGCTTCGTGTTAACTTGTGCTTTCCAAACAAGGTCGAGCTTCAGATATCAGGGCTGCTCTTAGTTATATTTTATGTTGATTAAAA